GTAAATACTTCCCTCTATGCCTAAACCACTCTTAAAAAATGAACCCAGTCATTTAGGTCCACCCTAACCAATTAGCATCCTGCAGACTGAATTGAGCTGGTCTACCAGAGCAGGGGAATGGAAGGAGTACTTTCCTATCTGCCCTGCTTGCTGGAGAGGTGGTTGGATGGACTGCCACCCCATCAGGAGGTTTGCAGCTGCAGAAAGTAGGAACTGGAGTATTCCACACCTGACACAGACGCAAGACAGTTCAGGGGCTGAGAGACAGGGGTGCTAGCCTCACAGCTGCCTGTAGATAGGTACAGTGATACATCTCCAGCCCACAGCACTGTGAAGCCTAGATTACCCTGACAATACTTTCGAAAATGATGCCCCGTAACCTCTGCTCTTTGATGCCTTGGCTACATCCTAGACTAATTTTGCTTCACTGAGTCTCCAGGCTTCAGTAAAATTGTTGAATCTAGTTGGGCACTACAGAATTCAAACATAGGAATGGATTCACTCTGTACCCACATCTTTTCATTTTGATAGTAAGTATTTGCGAAGAGGATTAGTGCGTATGTGTGGGAGAGGACTGCAACTTGATCTACAAAGAATAAGCTATAATTAATAACTTAATCATTTAATAACAACTATTATGTTTTTTGTGTAGACCCAGTTTTCATGGCACATTGCATTTTTTTGATACTAAAATAACAAAGATCTCTTATTAAAAAGACAGTTATAATGCATGTACCCCAAACTACAAAAGTTTTTGACCTTAAAATACGAGACAATATTAGCAATTCTGCATCTTGGAAAATCTTTTATTTTATCATTATGCACAAATATGTGGAGATACAAAGTGGACATCACTGGCACCTTACAGACACAAAAATTTAAGAAGATAGCAGAAATTAGTCAGATTCTAAGCTAAGGCAGGAAGTAGTTTCAGATCCACAGCCCTTTAAGTTATAAAATAAGCATGAGACTTGTCAGCATAGAGCTAATATCAGAGCTTCGTCCCAAGGGGTGACTTATATTTGAAAAATTTTTTTTTAAGCAACCTAGATTATGACAGTAGCTTTGGATGAAGTGAATAATAATTTAAATCAATTCTCCAGATGGACGTTAGATGAAGTCCCAATTCTTGACTTCACCTCTTGTTCACAAGAAATTTAGCATATAATTAACTTTTCAAATTCCAGGGTAGACTTCTGGGGCATGTGTGTATACAGTGGGATTTTACAAATCCTTTAAGGATCATTCATAAACTTAACAAAATAAGCTCTACATTCTTATGGCCAGGAAAATCAGCTGCCAAACATTCTGGGAGTGACTGATTATTTTTCTCCACCCATACAAATTTTCAGCAATAAATCAATAAAGATGTTTCAAAACAGTTTAACTGTAAAGTAGTTAACAACTGTTTTAAGCAGTCTACTTTCTTATATTGTTCTAGAAGCAGTAAATTTGCAGCACACAATCAAGACAACCCTTACTTTCGGTTTGCTTATATTCCTATGCATTACTTATGCATGTTTGCTTTTATTAGTTACACTTTTCCTTTTTAAATAGGAAAGCCTTGAAAAATTATTTCAAAACAATAGGAGACCATGCCTTGCCTAGACAAACACTGAATAATGTTAAAATGAATTTATTAACACAGCATAAAACTGTGGTCCCTAAACCATGATTCATAGGAGGCTTTTCCGAGACCGTCGAATCTTGCTCAGGGTCACAGGAAATCATTGTCACTATGGCAGTCACAGGAAGCTATTGCCACTATGATCCAGATCAACAGGAAGGAATAAGTATGGTGTTTCCTGCAGTAAACTATTTCTCAGCGTTACTGCTGAAGGACTAGCAAAAATGAGGCTACTGCAGTACCTAAAACACAATCCCTTTAACATACGTGGTCAGTCTCAGCCAGTTACTCAGAGTTTCAAATCCTAAACCTCTTAACCTAAAATCCTTACATCCCAGTCCAGATATTGGGAAAAATATCTACTACCCTACCTTATCATCTGTTCCCTCATGAACGCTCACTATAAATCCATACGCTTGCTTAAGGCTTTTGTATGGCTACACTAAGTCAGATGGGCTGCAGCATGAACAGACAAAGCAAACTTAGATGTATCCAGCTAGCTTGGATACCCGTAACAACGCAAATTCCAGCTAGTAGGCAATTACCTCAGTGCAGTCCATTCTGGTGTCTGCTATCACTGTTTCACAGTTACTGGCAGCTAAATTAGTTAGTTAAGGGAAGTTGAGTGTTTCTATGCTGCAATCATCCATTTCAGCTTCAGTGTGACCTTGATTATACTCTGTTTATTTGTACTGTCCCATTATAACCTTGTAGTATAGATGTGCTTGTACTTTTGTGTCAGCTCTGTCTTGGTAGGGCACTTTTATGGAACCTTATGCCCACGGTTATGTTGTTACCACAATGCGTTTTCTTATACTATACAGACCCTAACTGAAGGCGCTTGTATAAATCGGAATACACATGCATGCTGCCACTATTCACATACCTCAAGATTTTCTATCTTTAATTAGTTCAGTGGAGTGATACATTTTGTCATGACAAAACAAATCAGTATCAGGGTACACAGGCCTGCAAATAATCAGGCTGCCAGACTCCATCTTTATCGTGTCCCAGCTTACAAACACAGAAACAACTCTTTCACTCACGTATACCCACGCGTACAGATACAACCATATCTACTTCTTACAAGAACCGCTCAACCACATCACATCCATTTACTTACTCCAGTTTACTACAACTTCTTCTGCCACCCAGTCTGCCAATATGCTGTCAAATACATTTTCTTATATCTTTGCATTTTTCCTGCCTTCAAATTCACCAGTTTTTATCCCCTCCAGTTGTATGAATTTTCTTAGGCCAAATTGACATATGCTCTCTTCTCCCTGTGTGTAAATTTATCAGTTCCTCTCTCTTCAATTTATTTTCTTTTTCCTACTTTTGTCCTTTCTGCCAATCGCTGAACACACATAGACTCATTTTAATTTACAGAAAGGGTGTGCGAGTGCAATTTGTTTCATTAACATCATTCATCTTATTTTGGCAGTTTTTAAAGGCTCCAGGATATAAACAAGGCCCCATCTATGCTAATCACTAGGCAAACCAGCCACAGGAAGACAAATCCTATCCTAAAGAGATTACAGGCCAGATTTAAATAAACAGAAATTAAATGGTGACCAAAGGAGTCTGGGATGGGAAAAATTATATAGCAAGCACTTTTTTGTTCAGTGAACAAGTTTCATCCTGTGTCAATGTGCCTACTGTTAGCAAATTCCTATTTAAAATTAAACCATCATATCATATTTCTCTTGGACATTAGATTAGAATGGCGTATAAATATCTTTTATTTACCTCTTTCTAAAAGCACATATAACCCCTTTCAACATATAAATGATGCCGTGACAAAGCTGTTCACATTCTATTTTTAAGATGCTCTCAGCATTTTAAACTGACTGGGTGAAGCATGTTATCTCCTCTGTTATTACAATGAAACAATTCAGATAGAGTGTTAACAAGCCATACACCCAGGTTTGTTTCTTATGCTTAGCTGAAGGACTGCTGGGGACTCCAGTAGATGTTAAAGATGACAGTTAGCATTTTAATGGTTGCTGTCTGCCATAAGCAACACCTGCTGAAAAGCAGGGTGGATTTCAGAAAGCATTAATCTCACCGCAGTTTTGGAAGAGGAAATCTTCCATTTTACGCCCATCCGTCAGAAAAGTCTGAATTTAGCATAACAAAAAGCCTGCTGGGCTGAGCTATTGGATCTCAATGTCCCATTAGCTCAAGGGCTAAGCAGCCTCTTTGTATTAGTTGGTAATTTCTTGTACGCTCAGAATTTACTGCCATCCTTCTATACCACGCCACGGAAGGACTAGAGAAATGAACTGTGGCTAACTGAACTGACTGGTTAGCACAACTGGAATCAGAGAAGTACAAAGTATCTACACATGCCATGCTGTTTTATAGTAAAGACCATGAGAGTTTTGGCCTCCCCTGCACAGAAGCTGTCCTGCAGCTTTGCTTTTGCAAACTTGTCTCAAGGTTTACTGATACCTGGAGTGCTAGTGTTTGTAACTTGTGAAGTACAGTACTACCTTTCTAGAGTAAAAACAAGACAGAATATATGACAATACATGACATTGCACCCTGCTCACCCTTCTAGCTAACCTGGTGCCTTTTCTTTCCAACATTAGATTTGGGATGAACAGATAGATTACCACTGGTGTGAGGCAGTATAGGGAAAACAGTATTAGAGCAGACGAACATACCTCTAACATGCAGAACAGTCCTCCGCACGCAGGGTAAGATTTGGTTTGCTGTTGAAATATGGCTGGAGTATCTCCAAGCATTGTTTGCGTAGGAGAGTCCAATGTAAAAACAACTCTGGTATTACATCTAAGCTGTCTTCACTAATATGTTTCTATCTATCCTGGGACTCAACTGAATAACGTAAAAAGTTTCCAGGAAGCAAATTTGTATTTTCTAGATGCATGTCATCTATTGTCGCAATTGCACAAAACAAAAATAAAAGACAGGAAGGAACAGCAGAGTCCTTCCTTCAGTCCTATGTCCACTTGTTTTATACCAGGCTCTTTCAAGATGAGAACCCTATGAATCATTCACAATTGCCGTAAACCTTCCGGTGCCACTATTGCCTTTTCCTTGGCAGAATATACAGGAAAAACTCTGACTCGTAAAACTGATACCTCACATCTGATGTAAAACTGAGATCTTTGCACAAGGACAGATTTGAAATTAAGGTAACTCAGTAGCAACACAAATCTCCTCACCATTCTCTAGAATTCTGGCAATGGAAATATTCAGCCTTGGGGGTCCTATGTAGTTGCCATCTTTCAAAACATTATGGCCTCAGGATATAGAATACAGATCTTTTACAAATATGGTCTAACAAAATTGTTTTAAAACGATTTAGGCAGTAATATTAATGGTAGGTAGTTTTGGAAGAGCTTACCGAATCTGATTTCTTTTAAGCCACAGACGATACACTGAATCCATCTGCTGTTTCTCTGCGATACACACTGACAAAGCTGCAATCATGGCTGGGAAAAAAAGAAAACAAAAAAAAATGTAATTCTCTATCTGCTACTCCCTCTCCCAACAAACACATTTTATTCTACCCACTCACACTACCACGCCATTGATTTAACAGATATAGTGGTAAAAGAAAAGAAAAATCTAATAAACAGTTTTATCTTTAGCAAATTTACTTGACTACATTTCTAATGTATTTTTCTCAAGAAACGTGTCTAGCTCTGTTCTTTGTGATGTCCCCATATGTTCCTTATATTCTTTATGACAATGACAATGCAAACTTTATACCCATCATGCAAGGTAAAGCAGTATCAAATCAAAAACAGTATTGATGTCCACAACACAAGTCAAAAACCAATGTTCAGGGCAACAGGGTAGGTTATTCACACCTTTACTGTCTGCTAAAATCCTATAGCTAGCAGTTTGCAGGATCATGTTTTATTTACATAGTTATATGCAGCTTTTTTGTTGTTACAGAAGATCGTTTATTCCAAATCCTTATCATTTGCATTGAAAAGTTTATTGTTTGAATTACCACACTCCTTTAACTGCATGTAAGTCAGTTATCCTGAAAGGAAGGGAGAAAAAGGTGAGTGTACTACTGGGCCATTAATCTGTTCAAGGATTTTTCTATTTATTTCATTAGTTCTTCAGGTTCATTATTTATAAGGGTTTTTTTTTTTTTTACGTGACAACCTGGGGTGTGGCTGTTTCAAGGGTATCGTAAGCATATGGTTAGCAGCAACTTTGAAATCTGCCAATAAAAATAACGAAGTTGAAAGAAATACTAGCATAGTTTATTTTTAAAAAGTCATATAGACTTGGCTTATTACTTTTCAGTAAGTTTTAATTGCTGCTAAACAGTATATCCCTCATAATAGTACTGGGAAGAATAAAACCATCCGTGCTTTAAGATTGCTTTTGTTTCTTTTCTCTTCCTCCACTCACTCACACTTTTCTCATCCTTCCTTCCTTCTGTTCTTTAAACACTTCTCTCCTTTCTCCAAACACGTTCGCTTCAGGAAGAAGGTAAAATCATGCACATAACATCCTAAAATATTTCCTTTTTCTTTTGCTTGGGAAAGCCAAGATTTCCTAGCTGGGTGAAAAAACGCCCAAGACGGCAGGAACTATTGAACCCACAGGAAGAAAACCACTGACTCAAAACGTCTTGAGGAGGAGCGGGTTTTTTTTTTTCCCTCCCTTTACCACTACGGTATTTGCCTTTACCCCATGGACCTAACGTAGGCAGCTTCCCCTTTCCAAAGCGCTGATTTACCCTACGTAAGACACCAAACCCTCTGCCTCCCTCGCGTTTTCCCTCTGCCGAGGGAGCTGCCCGTTTGCCACGCTCAGCGCTTCGCGTTTTTTTCACGCCCCTCCCCCCGGTGAGGAGCTTCCCCTTTCCAAAGCGCTGATTTACCCTACGTAAGACACCAAACCCTCTGCCTCCCTCGCGTTTTCCCTCTGCCGAGGGAGCTGCCCGTTTGCCACGCTCAGCGCTTCGCGTTTTTTTCACGCCCCTCCCCCCGGTGAGGGCCCCGCTCGCCCCCG